TCCTTCCAACAGCGTCACTCCACAGAGCACTTAATTGTCAATACTTGGCACGCCTGTTTTTCACGATTATTCTTCTTAATGCTCTTCGGTCGGCATATGTGATATTACTTTTTTTCACATATCGTGGCTTATATTAACTGAACCAGTTACGTTATATCTTCTAACAATATTACTCACACTGTACCGCGATAAGTCTAACAAAGTTGCAATTTCTGAGTTTGATTTCCCAGAATTAAAAAATTTAATTATCAGTAACCGAATTTTCCCACTAATAACCTGTCCTCTACCCATTTTAAAAACCTTAAGTACCCAAAACTATTTTAAACGTATTCTGACAGCTGTGATTAATAAAAACAATTGTCATGGCTTTTATTTTTCATAGCCACCTATGCGTTATAGACATATTTTGCATTGAAATGAAGATAGGCTGATATGCTGTAATTGCAACATGTGTTATTTTTATGCCTCAAATTTGATTAGGGAATGATAAAGTTGGTGTTTTCTACTATATATTATCAAAATATTCATTGTTATATTTTAAACCAGAACACCCTGCTACATTTTTATTATTTGTGTTTGATAAGAAAATAACTAAGATTTCAATAGTTGGGCCAACTAAAGTGGGAAGGGGCTCGTAGAGCTCGCATAAACAGGAATAGACAGGTCTTAACATTATATATGTGCGTCATCGCATAACGCCGAGAAATGCAGCAATATGAGATGTTACGTATTGTAATTCATAAAGTAGATGTTACCGAATATCTGTGGGTGATTGAAAAATTCTGTTTTTAGATTTGCTTTAAGGGTCTCAAATAAATAAGATACACCCAAAAATTGTCATGTCACAAATCCTGTGTTTATCAGTGTTACTACTGTTTAATGTTTTTCCATAATTGTTTGCATATTCATTTGAGCTAATTATTATTAAGGGGCTGTTTTTTTTATCGATTTCAACTATCCTCGAATCATTTCTAGTGAGTAAAATAATTTTCGCAAAAATAATTTTATCACTGTTTGGGGACTGTTCAATATTTCCAAAACACAGTAACTTTACCCATTACTAACAAGAAGCGCCATAACGGTCATGCATTTTCGACGGATGGCCTAGTTTTACCAATAATCTGTTTAGTTAGGCTAGTCGGATCCAGAACACCGGAAACTTGATCTAGCACAAAAGCAGTGCTGCTCACATGAGTGGGGTGCTGCCTCCCCGAATACATTATCATGCTCGTTGCTGTTCTACCCATTTGCTCCCCAAAGCTCCATGATGCCGCCTCACGATGAGCCTGCCAGACAGACTCGCCTGACTTCAGCCTCCTATTCGATCCGTGTCGAACTTCATATATCCAGAAGTGGCCGGTACGACTGTTCCTTTGTACCTCAGGTGACAAGATTGTTGAACAATCTGCCCGAGGAGGCTTTCAGTTCTACTAACATTGTGCAGTTAAAAAATCGGATTTATTAATATGATTCTAATTCAATAAAAATTCTATTGGAGTTTTCATTTGTTACAGGGGCAGAGAAAAACCGCTGCACACGAGAGAACTATGGACCAACGCAGTTCGGAAGGTGTCTACCGAAAGGAGAAGGCGACCGCATTTCTCTTCCATAGCGTTTTCCATAATTGACGCCAACAAGCAAATCAAAAAGGATGTTTCTTTCACACCTCCTTGCTCACCAAGGCATCCGAGGATTCTAAAACATGTACGTAGCACCAGAGAATGCAATAGGTACCGTACACTTCTTGACACTGTAACCGTCAAAAAAAATTAAGGGCGAGAAGTAGCCTATTCATACATTACTTGTATCCGTAAGGTAAATGATAGAAACAGTGAACAATACTTCTGTTGAGATACGGTATATATTCGTTTAAGGTACGCGTCCACTGATCCGTATGCACCATCCGTAAAGGATTTCTGTAAAATCCAATCGAATCGATCATTTCAAAACCTCGTAAAGACCTTTTTTGGTTTGTGAGCTTCAAGGGAGTGGAATGTCTAATTACCTTGATACCTATCAATAGTTCTTGTCTAACTTTGTTTATTCAGAAATCGGGTATATAAGAATCATATTAATCATAATGTTTTAATGCTTATTATTGAAATGTATCCCTGAATATCGATTTATCAACATGTAACATATTTTAGTCTTCCATGTTTTAATATCTTTAAGGTTTATTAGGGAAACTGAAACAAAGCGAAAGTCTGGGAAAGCTTGAGTTTCCCGATTTACATCCAAAACATGAAGCGGCCATCGTGAAAAAATACAGAGCCTTATTAATTGAAGCTTCTTCAATAGGCAATCGATCGTAGAAGAATCCAGGTGCTAATCTAACTACCAGATAGCAAAGTGTATATTTTTTCCTAAATATTCAGCATATACTTAAGGGCTTAGTAATACAAATGAGGAGTGATTCAATGATTTTGGCAGAAAACAAGAAAATTCTTAAACAAGTGATTTAGGGCAAAGCGGAAAAGGCGATATTCGCCCGTGGTAATATAGCACATAAATATGGAAAGAAAACAAATTAAGATCCTGCTACTGCTTTTGAAATGACCCATTCAAGAACCTGACGGCACCATCTATTTAGTGCATGCAAACATTTGACTTGTTCCCAACTAGCAAAGTAGTGCTATGAGCTTTTTTTCAAAGAACCGTTCAGCCATAAGAGCTCTCTATTGTTGTTGCCTGAACACCAAAATGCTGGCTTAATGGTGTGTGGAATGCAAATTTGCTTTCTGCATCATATTTGAAAATAGTTGTGTTGTGGTATGGTAACGTTATACAACAAACCCGAGCCTTGTTGTTTGCTGTGCAAATTTACTACTTCAGTCAACAAATTGCTCCCAACGGAAGCATTTATACAACTGTTGTTTAGTAACTGTTAAAGGCTGTACATATGCAACAATATTAAAACTTTTGTAGTACAAAATTGCTGTGCCCGGCATACATTTGTTGCTAAATATGTTGGAATACAACTTCACCATAACCTAACTTTCTGCTGTCATATTTTTGTTAAAATGCCATAACCAATGTTTTAAGTCACACAACGCATGCATATTGGTTCAAAAGGTTTTATCAACTGTTCAAACAGAAGATATAGATCTGGTACAAATTCTGGGTAAATCATTCGACTGTGTCGGTATTTCATTTCAGACATTTGTCAAATTGTTGTATAATACCTGCAGGCAACACCAAAATATTCCAATAAACTAAAGACAACATGGACGATGCCATCATTATACACAACCACCCGCCATATTGGGCAAACATTTATTCCTCTATTTAATAAAAAATAATTATGTTTCAGTTCGAAATTACAGATATAAATTGATAAACATTAGTGTAATTGTGGCTAAATATAGGGTTTGTGAAAGATTTAACGCAGATAAGTTCAGTTTTCCATCTTAAAAATCTAAACATACTTTATATCATTATTAAAATATGAATCAAATACGAAGCCCGTAGAAGTTGCGTAACTACTTTGCACGATAATCACAATAAAATTTGCTGCGCAAGTAATTCAATAGCCCTATATCACAGTGTAGACGTTTATCATATACCTGTGTATGAAATTCACAATGGCCGATATGTAAATAAACAAGATGACTATAATGTGTTAGTTATATATTCTTCACTTCGTCTATACGATATATAAGAAATAGTTTGGTTGCAATAAAGTAAAATCGCGTAACAGAATAGTTGTATAGTTGACAAAAACTGAGTCTTGCACTGACGCAAATGTCCTATAGCGGCTGCAAGAGGCTTAGACTTCTGTTGTATAACTGTTACCTGCAGCCCTTGTACAACCTCTTAAATGACTGAAGTGTCCTATTAGGTGTGCCCATTCCGCTTGTATAGCTGTTCTAAGAGGGTTTTGCCATTGTTCTTACAGTATACAATGCTATGTAAGGAATACTGTATAATCATTCTTGCAACTCTAATAGGAGTGATAATTGTTAGTTTGGTTGTTTTTACAATGAACGTGTATTAAGCGGTACTATTTTAAGGAGAAGGAATGTATTAACTAAACTACCCTGGATGCCTAAAATAAGCAACTACTTTTAAAAGATCATCTAAACGGGAAATACTTTTACTGCATTATTTAGCTGCAATAGAGGTGCCAGCTACATATGGCAATACTTTTAGTATGGCCCAGGTATATCAGTACAGGTTACTTTTCCGAACTGCTTTCTTATATTGCGGATCTATCGGAATCCTAAATGTAATGTAATCTAAGTAATGTAAGATGCCGCGACGCATACATTTTCGTCGATTATTTGTGCCTGATTCTGTAGCTTCAGACAATATTGTCTTGAAAGTTGGGACTTTGCTCTTCAGACACAACTTTGTAGTTTGCAAAGCTAATGAGCAAGCAAAAATGTAAGAATAAATAAATGAAAAAGTACTCACGATTCATCGAAAAGGAATTTCAAGTACAGCTCCGTCACTTGTAAGTATTATTCAAAGTTTTCTGCGATAGGCTTAAACTCAAATACGCAGTTCGTCAACCGTGTTCACCTCAGTTTTATAAAATAAACATTTCATTTTGCCCCACACGAAGGATCTTGAAAAACGATCTGTATGCACACGCCAAGCCTCTGTAACCTTTCGAAGACACTCACCGTAAATTAAAATAATATATATACTCTGATATTGCTATATAAGTGTACCATTTTTTGTTTATGATGACTGGGCTGTACTCGCCAAATATTGCAACAAAAATATTGACCGTTCACAGGCTTCATAAGAAGGCTTTAACAGCAAAAAGGAATTTGGAAAGATGTGACTTGACAGTTTCTTGCATTGGCAGTTATATCACAATTTCAGTAACTGTACCATTAGTGGATCTTAGCTTCCCTAAGAAAATTGAACACTACACAAGCCTATCGTTAACGCAGCTGCTACTCGCTCTTGTATACACACTTAAATTCGATGGTGGGGATGGAAACGGTGTTGAACAAAATAACATATTTCGAGAGAAAGAAATGTGTCAATTAAATTGTTCATTTGAGATACTTATGGTCAATTTAGACAATTTTCCAATGCAGTTGGACAAGCAGCAGAAATATGGTTGTCCTTATTCTGGCAGAATCAGAGTACATAACGATGTGAGAAACTGAAGTATTGAGATTGTTTGTTAAGTATTGAAAAAGGCATGAACCTATCTCATTTACACCCCTCTTCCCCAGCGATTCAAATCACAGGTAACAAGACGCTTGAGAATCAACGCAGTCATGAACTGTGAGATTGTAAGTCCACAGATGACGTTTATGAAATGTGTAATGAATAATTTGTTCTTTGGCTTTACGAGAATGTTTGTCTTCGTCGGATATCTTGTTTCTGTTAGCGTGAGACCCTCTACTATCCAGTGGTATAATTGCTGAAATATTATCCGTCTTTTACTATTATTTACACTCACAAAGATAGACCCATATACGTTCGGTTTAATGACCCTTTTAACAAAATTCTGACTTATCGTCGTTTTCACCCCTTTCAGCGAAATGAAACAGAAAACCGTTGTTTTCGTTCCCTTTCCAAAATAGACCATTAAATTCAATTCCGACTGTCGGCATTGTAGTTGTATCTTCAGACATTGTATTTTTAGCTGTTCTTTCCATCATTATTTCCATCGCCATCTATCTGCCATATGACGCTGAAGTCTGTGGATCTGTCATTATATGAGAGGCGCTTGCCTGCGGTGTTGCTGGATTGAGCTCCGTGTTTAGGAAAAAATGTTGAAAGTGGAAAATTGATATACATTTATATGAATGAAACACAAAAACAAAAAACAGAAACAAACAACGGTAGTAAAATTAAAAGTGATCCTTACTAAGTTTAAACAAAAATAACAAACAGCAGTAAAATAAAAAGAAATTCTAAGTGATTATGAAAAACCAAAATTAAAACAGTAGTAAAACAAAAAAACATTTCCATTTAATTATAAAAAAAAATAACAAACAGTAAAATAAAAAGCCTTTTTTGGATGGAATGAAATTGTTTTTCGTTTTACTACTGTTTTTACTTTTTGTTTTGTGTTGTCACTTAGAATTACTTGTTATTCAACATGGAACTGTTTCTTTTTTGTTTTACTACTGTTTTTATTTTTTTGTTTTTATAATCACTTATAACTGCTTTTTATTTTACTGCTGTTTGTAATTTTTTGTTTTATACTCAGTAAGAATCACTTTTAATTTTACTACTGTCGTTTGTTTTTGTGTTTCATTAATTAATATAATTGTATATTTTCAACTTTTCATTTTTTTCCCGATATGCGGAGCCCAATCCGGCAACACCGCAGGCAAGCGCCTCTCATATCTGACATATGCACAGACGTCTACGTAATATGGCAGATAGATGGCGATGGAAATAATGATGGAAAGAACAGCTAAAAATACAATGATTTGGGAAACTTTTTTCATGAAAAGCGTGCTTCATAAACACTTTTTTTATCTAAATCTATCAGACTACCCTCTGAAAGTTTGAAGAGAAAAAACAGGACGCAACAGCACCGGCCGATTGCATATGTATGTATGAGTAAGATGAATGTATGAAAGTAATTCCTGTAATCCATCTCCCTCACAGACACATGCAATTTGCCCATGAAGACTAGAGATAGGAGGTTAAACTGATGGAGTGTGTATACTGCGCCGAAAATAAATTTCAAGTTCTATTCATATGGTATCTATCATCACTGTAAACAA